ATAACAATACACGTGATGCGTAACTTTGCGTATATGCCGTGTATTGTTATATGGCTTTTTCGGAGATGCGAGCCAGTAGTCAAATTCCCTAGATACTTGTTTTCCACAACTAGTGTTTCTTATTGCATAATACGAGAAACATTTTTTCTTCTAACACAATATTTTTCTCACTCCAAATTAAACTTTATTTGAATTAGATTATACAACTTACTAATTATTAAAAACACATAAATCGTTTGCAACAACACAACAAACCTCGATTATCAACACCAAGTAATGAAAAAGTAAACAAACAGTAAAATATAGGGTTAAACTGGAAAGAATATAGTTTTTTACTCAGATTTGTCGACGTTGCCACAGTTCCGGCTCGTAATTTTGCGTACGCTCACGACGTTCGCAAATTGAGATGCGAAGATGGCCGAAAAATTGAATTTTTAAAACGCATTCGTTTTCTAACACTCGCAAAGTTGTACGTTCGCATGTAAACGATCAATTCCAAAAATTGCCCCCCGGGGGCAATTTTTGGCTATTCGTTTCCTTGCAAATTGTTCGCAACTTTTCGATCAACACTAAAATCCAATTTTTAAGTGTTCGTATTTTTGCGTATTAGCAAATTTCCCTGCGTTCTCTTGCGAGCGGATCGACAGCATCGTAAGGGTATGTTTTCTAAGTGCGCTTATTAGATTTGATAGTTCCAAGTTTGTAGTTGGGTTTAGGTGTATCAATAATAGTAGTGATAATGAATGTTTTGGCCATTCGAAACCTAGAAAATGCAGAACTGCAATACCGCCCTAATGTTTTTGCGCAATCCGGGGAATGCGTTCATAGAACTGAGTGAAAGGTAATTTATTAAATATAAAAATATTTCGGTTATCCAAAGACTTGTGCCGTTTTTAATTCAGTTACTTGAGCCGTACATGCGACCACAAAGAAGACTGATTGGGATGTGCAAAGCCGGGTAACATTTTTCTCTATTATTGTATATCTATGAAGTAACATTAAATTTCAGATTTTAGCTTTAGCTGCTTTGAAATTTTACGGAAGTGGTTGTTACCAGCCCGGATATTGCTTTAAATAAATACATCGATATGTACCAAGCCTCGGTTTCTCATTCAATTGATGAAGTTACCAACGGTTTAAACCATCAGAGATATCCGATCAATGGGTTGAATTTACAAATAATTTTTGAAAAACTCAACAGAATAGAGAACAGTATGGTTTTGCAATACGGGTATTTATTGCATTGCCTATTGCAATTGCAGCTTCTTTACAAATATTAACGTTACTTTTGCTTTTCTCTAACATTAGTTCCACGTTTTTTCCATTATTAACCCACTTGACCAACAACACAACAAACCTCGATTATCGATACCAAGTAATGAAAAGTAAATAAACAGTAAAAATACGGTTAAACTGGAGAGAATTTAGTTTTTTCACTGTGATTTGCGACGTTGCCACAGTTCCGGCTCGTAATTTTGCGTACGCTCACGACGATCGCAAATTAAGATGCGAAGATGGCTGAAAATTGAATTTTTAAAACGCATTCGTTTTTTCTAACACTCGCAAAGTTGCGCGTTCGCATGTAAACGATCAATTCCAAAAATTGCCCCCCAGATACATTTTTAAAAAATCTTAAAATATGTAAAAAAACAAAATAAAATATACGTGTTTAAGCGTTTTTTTGGAAACCGTTTTTTTTTAATAAAAAATATTATAATATTTGAGGGGTGGTTTCATCCCCTTGGAACTGGAATTTTGAAAAATCCCTTCTTATCGAACCTCTACACCCTAGAATCAACCTGTATGCCAAAATTGAGCTACTTACGTTGAGTGGCTTGAGCAGAATCGTGATTAATCAGTGTGTCAGTCACTTAAGGATTTTATATATTAGTATAGATTATATGGAGAAAGGGGAGAATGTTATCGATCGTCATTTCCAAGCCAACTGGACGCCGTTTTTTCAATTTTCTATTATTATTGTTTTAATTTATAACAAGTAGTATTTCCCGGCTATCGCATAAAACTTATAAAGTATAAAATATTGAAAAAAAAAATATAAAAAAACCTAAAAAGTATAAAATATTGAAAATTAAAATTTTTTATCAAAACAAATATTCTATTAATTTCATTTTTTACACTTTTATTTGCATTGAATTACTAAAAATACTGTTTATTTAAAGACTTTCTATGTAGAAAGTACATCTAGTAAAAATATATTAATAAAATGTACGACTTGCAAGAGCCTTGCGCAAGACCAACACTGAACCCTGCAAGACCAGGACCATAACTACATATTAACTGCAAAACCAAGATCAAGACCAAGGGAGTCTTGGTCTTGCATTTGCCCACTACTAACTTTTACTATTAATGCTGATCTTGTTTAGGTATTTTTGGAAAGGATTGTATCCCGTAAACAGTCCTGTTGTGCTTGCTTAGATTAATGAACAAACATTTTAATATTCAAAAATAAGAAAGATGTTGATATAGTCTCTCCAACGAATCACGGAATATTTGGACGAATGACATCCAAAAAAATGGCAGAAAATAAAATTTATATATGTATTAAACGACAGACACAACTCTGTCACTGTCTTGGATCCTCTCGTTGTGCAAACTATGCCTACCAAATAATGTATACCTAATACTTCAATTTGTCACTTTCCTAGTTAATTTAGTTCTTACTTCCAATCTACTGAGAAAAAATCAATTTTTGCTTCATAAATTCGTGTTTTTTTTTGTTATAGATCGAGCCAACTTTGCCAGAACAAAAAGACAGACCGAATTTGAGATCGACCCAACCAACGATACCGATCAAGTAGGCCAGGATAAACCTGGATTTTTCGATCGAGCGGCCAAATTTGTCGTAGAACTTTTACAGCGATTTCTCAGATGGGTTAATACGGAAAATAGTTAAAGAGGGCATCAGCTTGGCAATTACCACTGTCGGAGGGTGGATCCTTGGATAATAAAAAGTTGTATATTTATCCTAGTTTCAAATAAAAACAAATATGTTAGGATTAAAGTGTTTATTACTTTATATAACTTAGTGGAAAATATGTGTACAAACCATCCAAATACTGGTTATTTTAATGGAAAATAATATTTTAACTAAAATACAAAGAATATTCCGAGGAATATTCATTGGTTGGTTTTTTTTTTTATACTATCCAGCTAGCTTACAAATCACACAAAGTTTGTCACAAAAAAAATCACAAATTATAGCCTGGTTTATTGGATTGGCTAGTTAAACCAGTCACAATACTTGAATAAAGTTTGACCTTAAAAGTCTGCCCAACGAGTCAGGGATTTCCTCAGACGACCTGTGAATTAAAATGACAGACCCAACTGACCAACCAGAGCATTCATGACAAACTATATATGATACTGTCATGAATACTCTCGTGGGACAGACTATAGTAATAATATAAACAAGGGTAACGCATGCCTGTACCTACCATCTAATTCGGGTTAGTATGCACATTTGCACATTTACTAATTCCCTTTGGGTAATTTATTTTTAAAAAAGTTGCAGTAGCGTTAATGGCAATTATGTGTTGTTATTGTTTACTGCGGTTTTTTTTTCGTGATTTTTTAAGATATGTATCTAGTTATTTAAAACGAATCTAAAGCAATAATTTGAGAACCGGCTATTGAAAACTTATTTAATTATTTAAAAATTCTCTTTTTTAACTGTTTTTAAGTAGTAATTGTTATCCTGAACTAATTTAATCAAATAGAATTACTTAACCAACGAGTTAAATAGTTATGATGTATTAATAGAAATATTAGTTCACTCTATGTAGCCAAATGCTGTGGCTATTTATTGTAAAATGACGAAAAACTCGAAAAAGTTAATGTGTATAATTTTCTTGTAGTTCATACTTTTACAACATTATACAGTTTATAAACAATATTATATTTGTAGATATGTTACTACATAAGTGTGATTCACATGTCTACGGATGCGTATTACAGCCTACAGCCTACTATTGATTGAATTAGCTCTGTTTTGTAGATATTTTGCTTAAGGCGCATTCTCAGGACTTGTGTGCTTGGCAAGTATTTTTTATTGGCCTACAGGGTCTGGCGAGAGTGCAGGGGCTGGCGTAGCTCCTATAAAGGCGCATTCTCACGACTCGCGTACTTGACAAACATTTGTAATTGGTATATACAGGGTATATACACGGTGCGTCGGGCATCTATACAGAATTTCTAAGTTATTTATTATAGGAACTAGGCCGCACTCCCGCCAGACCCTGTAGGCCAATAAAAAATACTTGCCAAGTACACGAGTAGTGAGAACGCGCCATAATAAATAACTTAGAAATTCTGTATAGTTGCCCGACGCACCGTGTATACCTTGTATGCCAATTGCAAATGTTTGTCAAGTACACGAGTCGTGAGAATGCACCTTTAAGAATAAAAAGTATTTTGTATACTCTCGAGCTAATGTCTGTCTAAGATCAGAGAAGTTTCCTACAAATGACATTCAACATTCAAAAAATAACAGAGAAAATAAAATGTATCTGAAATTCGTTTTATTTCAAATTCATGTAATGTAATATCTAGGTAAAAACCAAACAAACAAAAAAAAACAAAATTCGTGGTTAAACTTGTACTGTGGTTTCAGTAAGAATAGAATTCTCTTATATTGTTGTCTCTTTGAAATATAACAAAGATATATTTTCATTATCGTAAGCGTTTATTATTTAAAGCATATTGCATAATTATTTATGCCATTGTTTTAGTGCAATAATTAGTAATTATTAAAAATAATAAACCATGTCTATTTTACGAACATTTATATGAAACTAAACGATATTTATAAAGAAAATACAAATTAATTCCATTATATTTCCGAATGACAACAGGAAACACAGTCCGGCAATTAAAAATTAGGATCGGATTGATAATCTTTTAATTTCAGTAGAAAATTAGTAGTTATATAGTTAATAATATACCAGGTAGGATTTTAATGAAGGACGAGGCAGCAATATTAAAATGATTTATACGCGTTATTGTCAAGCCAAATTCAATTTTCTCGTGACCGATCTCCATAAAAAAAAACGCTAAAAATGGTCCAATTAATTTCAAAAATTTCTTGTCTTCTAATTATTATTTGTATTGTTCCTCAGGTGAATATTAGTTAATTGTGGCCTTCACTTGATTGGACTATATCAGAGCTATTATAAATAGAGCACAATAAAACGTTTAAGAAAGATAACTACCGGATTTTTTGGTATATCAACCTTTCAGAAAGATCTTTGGATATTTTATTCGAGCAGAACGAACAAAGGACAATAGCCATCTTTCTTGCACGTTTCATTGCCAATCTAGCTTTTTTATAATATCTCTATAATGATTTAATGCTGATTTATTTTAGAATACTTTGGCAGTATGTGAACGGCCAGACGTTCTAACTGGAGCCGAAGACTATTGTTGGGGTAAGACAGTAGAAATTCTGGATAGATTACAGTACAGTACTAAAAGTGTTTTAAATTTTGCTAAGAAAAAATTGGGTATTGGTGTCGAGGAACAATATACACCGCAGAAAGTAAGTACTAAAAATAAAGACTGGATCATCAACGAGTATGGCGGGAGATCATCCAATCTTTTGTTGTAAATTCTATATATCCGGTATATTTTCCAAGGTCCAATTTTCTACTATTTTAAGATAATAGCACAGATAATAGTCTTTATACGTTTATAGAATATTTTTTTCCCAGTAGAGAAATGAATCAAGTCAAACTTCTCGCATTAAGCAGCTACCTATAGCCTGTTTATCTAACTTGTTTTATTGTAATTAAGTATCATTTCCTCTATAATTATCTTTTAGGACTTGATTTAGTTCACTTCTGAACCCCCGCTCATATATTCGTCATAAATCTTGATCACTTTTGTACCGTATGATCAAGGAAAAGAAAACATTAGATTACTTTAGGAATGACGATCGCTGACATTTTATAAGTAAAATTATATGGTGAATCTCACTGACCATCATTTCTTATAACTGAACGCCGTTTTATTTGGTCGTACGGTATATATGATATTAAGAAACCAGAAAAAATGTATTGATTAAAAAATATGATCTTTTTTAGTGCGACTACTACCAATGCATCTTTGAGGCGTTACATATGGTAAATATACCTGTAAAATAAATAATTGACTATTTTTTAAAAAAATTATAGCTCAACGGAAATGGATACCCAAACTATGGCCAAATTGTATATTGGATTGATAATAATGTAGTTTACACTCATGCAAAAGAAATATATGACAGATTAAGTGCTTGCAATAATGCCTTATCTGATAGCATTAGTAAGTTGATAAAAAATATATGTATGTGCCTATAGAAATAACATTTTATTTCCAAGTAAAAAAAACATTTTTATAGAGACAGCAGATGGCGAGTTAAGGTTGAAGTATTATGTCAAACGTTAAAACTACAAAAATCATGTATTTTAAAAAATATTAATATATTTTATATTGTAGTTTTTGATCTTATAATGCCATACTTTGTACCTCGGTTCTATCACAGATAACAACTTTGTTGTGTTCTTTGTGGTTCTATATGCCATAATCTGTACCTGTATCTACTGTGGCATATACAGATTATTTATACTATAATGATATTTCTTGTACAATGTTTTCTTCGGCAAGAGACTGTTCACTTTTATTTAAAGAAAACAAAGCCAGTTTAATGGAATAAAATGAAAATTTCACAATTATGCAACCAACAATACCTACTAATTATGCTGATACAGAAAATTAAATTTAAGATTATTTTATAAAAACATACCTAATTTAACCCCATAATGCGACTTTTTTATTATTAACATATTTTTAAGACGTGAAATATTTAAATCACTTATTTTACATAAATAGTTTTTAGGGTGTTTTGAAACCAAATCATTTTTCTTTCATACTAATATTAAATTTTTTTAGAAAATAACATATATTTTTCTGGAAATCTGAACACCACATTAGAAGGTAAGATCACAGTAAGATCTTATAAAAATACACAAATATAATAAACAATATAAATTTTAAATAGAATCAACTGAACTGCAAGGAAAATGCGAAGTATTACAAGAATTCATGAAATGCATAAGTGAAACAAGTGTAAGTATAGCCCTTATAGCACTATAAAATTTAAATGAAATAAACAAAAATTTTTATTCTTTTGTGTTTCAGTGTAAAAGGTTTAGCTACCCCTAAGTAAAAGGAGGAGAATGTAGTTCATATTAACATGAAATATAGAATTAAGTAATACATACTTATAATAATATAATACTTCATATATGTTTATACTAACTTGTACTAACTCAAATTTGTTTATGAACGGAATGTATAAATAAAAAGTCAATTACAATAAACTTAAAATATATTTAGTGGAAAAGTTATATATTACATAGACATTCAGATGGATATTGTGTTTCAAATAAATAGTCCTTTCAATACAGTCAGTACTTGAGACACAATGGAATGCCATATCATATGTAACCCGTTTACTGAAAATAAAAACAAAATTGTTAAAATAGCATTACTTTAAGCAAGATCTAAATCTTCAAAAACACAACAGAAACTAAAAAGCTATTACTAAAACAAATTATTAGGCTTTTTTAAAATACCACTCAAACTTTTTTAGAACAAGATTAGTTAAAGACAATCACAGATATCTTAATATACCTGAAATATTATTTGCCTCCCTAGAAATCAATAAAATATAAATATATTAACTTAATATCTTTGAAATAAAAATATAAATAAATTATGAAAATGTTTCATTACCTTTTTGGCTGCTGCTCCAACTTTACTCTTCTTGGTTCCACGTACTTTCTTCATTCTGTTCTTTCGTTCTTTACGTTGTTTACGTGTCTGTTGTTTCTTTTCATAAAGACCATGCCTCTGTAATCTGTGTTTGGGTTCAAATTTCTTGGCAAAATCTAATGTATCGTAAATCAAAGCAAAGCCTGTTGATTTTCCACCACCAAAGTTTGTACGAAAACCAAAAACAAAGATGACATCAGGCATAACCTACAAAAAGTATAAAAATACAAATGTTTAGTTAAGAATGCAATTATTATCTATTACATAGTAATAATAGATAATACGGTAACCGATAATACTCTTTATTTGCATTAATTATATAGTAATGTAATTATTAAAATTCGAGGAATATATAAATAAAAACAATTGAAAAATTGGAAAATAAACAAGTTATTCAACTAATGATAAATTATACAAACTAATTTATTCTACTTTTCCATGATTTTAAAAGGTATTAAATTTAACAAAAAGGCATGAAAAACATGAACGAATGACAATGAATTTCTACAATTTTTACCTTGTACATTTTGGCGAGCTTTTCCCTTATATCTGTTTTCTTAACAGAAGGTTGCCCTGGATGTAGAACATCTACCACCATTTGCTTTCGACACAACAGTCTGTTGGTCATGAATTTTCTGGTACGAATTGTAGCTGTTCCTTCCGTCTAAAACAAACATATTCAGGTTAATTTAATTCTTCTAGCAATGTTCCAACCAACACCACTCCAAATTTTGATAAACTTGGATATTTTCATCGGCTAGTTACAATAAATTGTAAAGCATAGTACGTTTATTTCCACAAAATTATTTAAAACCCATATTCACTATATTACATTTGTCAACATTGATAATATACAAGATAATATTCTCCAAAAATAAAAATTTTAAAGGAAATAAAAGCACTGCACATATACACATCAAACCATTTTAAAACACTTTTATAATTATTTAAGATGACTGAGAAAAAACTAAATTATTTTCACATACCATTTTGAACGGCTAAAAGAAAATTTCTAAGAGAACTCTTCTTTTTCTAAAATTTGGCGTTTGCCCGTCCTTTTGACAATTTTGACATATACAGAAAGTTTTGCAGCCAACTTCCTGTCTAATTCTTTTAATTTCTCTCTTTTTTTAATATGAATCTAGGGGTCATTTATACATATACGCATTTATATATGACTGTTTCAAGGACACATGAAAAATGAATTAAATTTCAAAAAATAACGGTGATTGTAAATAAAACAGAAAAAGGTAAGAAAAATAGTACTGCTGAATGTTTATATATATTTTTGATTTCTAATATTATATTTATGTAATAGATATTCTCAAGCATATAAATAATGTTCTCGAGTCATAAAAAGAGATAACAAACATTATTTTCAATAACAAAGACGAAGATATCGAGTAAACGGGGTAAACAAAGAAGAGTTTCCCACTTATCACAAACATACGTTGAAAGCATCGTTTAAAGATAAAAAAACCCCAGGACCTGTGCCTAGCTGCCCAGGACTAATTCATTTGTTTGGAAACCACAGGCGAGTTTATAAGTTGCTTTGTTCCTCTTTTATTTTTTCTTCAAGAAGTTATTAAAATGTCTACAATGGACGGTAAAGGAGAGGATGAGGTTGGTGGAACAGACCACGCTCCAGAAGAATACCATGACGCTGAAGATGGAAATTGTATTAATGGCAATGGAAAATATGAATTTCAAGAAAACGAAAACGATGATGAAGGAGATGCTCTTGGCAGACCTGGGTATTTAATATTATTTTTATTAACATGATTCTATGAAATATTTTGCTCAAAAAAGAAAGGGATTTCTACATTCAGTACTATGTATAAGATCCAATTTTATAATTTAGTTTTGTGTATTATAAATTGAATAATTTATCAATTATAAGCTTCTATCTCTGCTAATAATTTATTAAACATTTACCATAAAATTATATTTACCTAATAATTTAACAAGTTGTCATGTGGTACATCTATATTTAAATGTTTTTAATTTACAATACTATTGTATATTCATTGTCTTTGTAATATGTCTATAGATTTTTTAATAAATATATTATTACAGGGGTCGCCCTGGAGAAGTTTATGCTCCAATGCCTGTTCCAAAGTATGCTACACACTATAAAATGAACCATCCAAAGAGAGGTTTAGCATTAATTTTTAACCATGAAGTTTTTGAATGTGGAGGTCTAAAATCTCGTTCAGGAACTAATGAAGATTGTAATAATTTAAAATTGTGCCTTTCCAGTTTGGGATTTGAAGTTATGGTTTTTAAAGATTTAATTTATACAGATTTAGAAAGTCAAGTAAGAGCAGGTAAGTTCAAATCATGATCTTGAAGGAAACTGACTAATAATTTGTAACCTTATATATTAGAGTGTACTATAGAAGTTAATATTAAAAAATAAATTATTAACACTAATTAAAATGAATTTCATAGAAACTACTTGATATATAAATGAAGTAGTGAGGATACTAGTTAGAAATAATAGAATGTACTAAAATTGTTTTGTGTAGACTTTAAAAATATATTTATTTCTTTCAGATAAAGTAACACTTCAGAGTTCAATAAAAATGTGTAACAAAAAAGATACTTGTATTTCTAAACCATAACAGATATTTGTATAGAAAATGTTATGATTTATTCTGAAAATCAAATATGCATTTATCAAATATTAATTTATCTGTATGTTTATTTTTATCTTGCTTTTTTAAGTAGGTATGTAGATATTTTTGATCAGTTTTTTTTTCCATGCAATGTCAGTACCACTTCTAATAAAGTTGGGAGTAATACCTGATAAAAAATAATCTATCTTCTTGATAAATGTATTGATTTGTTATAAAATACATATCACTGCCATCTGCCATATCTATTATTTATATTTCATCTAATCCTGGCATATTTATCATTGCTTTTTTGTAGATATTATTTACATTAAAATTAGTTACTCATACTTGGGATCTATTATTTTAAAGAAATGAGGAGTATTTTAATGATAACCTGATAACAAAAATGTCTTGTATCAAAAACTCCTTAAAAACAGGTTATTTGATTTGGTATAAAAAACATATCAGTGCTACATCTGATATTTTTAATCTATTAATCCAATTAATTTTATTTCTTGGTTGCTTTTTGTAAATATTTTCATCAAAATGAGTCACTCTAATCAGAATTTAGTACTTTCAAAAAATAAAGCGTATTTTAAGGTCACTTAAATAAATAATTTTTATAAAAATATTGATCAATTCAATACAATTTCAAGGACCACAAGTACTTGAAATTTGAAATATTTGGATCTATTTTTTAGAATGTATGTTTTGTATTTTTTACAGGATGTAAAAGTGCGAAGGCACTCTTTAAAATGAATAGAAAGGTTTCATTTCAAATTTTACTGACTTTTCAAAAACTGCTGACACTAAAAATGTTGAAAGTCTAGCTGTTAACAGCTATAGCCCCTTACTTTTACCTGTGACAAATTTTGAAATAAATAATTTTCTGGCATAAAGAACAGACAATTTATATATTATATATAGATTTTTTTTGGTTTCCCATTAAAACTGCACAATAAATGCAGTATGCTCCTGTCAAAATATTCAATCACATTTTATAGTAAAGGTGAGTTTATATGCATCCTTTATGCGTCGTCCGTTGTTCCGTCACTCCAATCATATTTGAGTATAAGCTGTTATTTTTTAAATAAACCAATAAAATTGGTATTACAGGGTATTACTATGTAAGTAAATGCTTTATAGGGAGATGCCAAACCAGAATTTTATATGAAAAACCCTTTTTATTTTTTCAGAACTATTCTGAACTTTTATCCACTTTTTATCTACACCCTGTGTATAAATCTTGAGAGGTAGGCTTTAAATTGGACCTTTAAACTCATATCACTTTATCCATCCAACAAGATATCCATTATAACTTTTTTAAAATGTAAATATGCAATTTAATACATACTTATCTATGTATAGATATTAATACATACATATAATAAAAAATAACTATTGTTATAGGATTAGTTATTGTCATGTCATTTAGTAATAATTATTTTATCCTGTTTCATCTTATAGTAACATGTTTTTGCGTTATACTACTATCAATTGGTAATGAGTTATTATTTTACTAAAAGTTGTACTTTATATCTGAACACCAAATACGATTTATGGAATTTACGTACTAAATAATTTTTTTGTATGAAAATATATTTTGTATACAATAACTAAATACTGGCTTGCTAAATCTAAATAGTTGGTCTGTATTTTAATTTTTAATGAGTAAAACAAAGAAATAAACTATTGACATGTAACCAGTTGATAGACAGAGACACAAGTAAATGCAGGACTGCCGTCTTTTACGCGCGATAGGCATTATTAAAGAATTAAGCGTAAGACTATTCGAAAAGTCTCCTTGTTCAATTTAAAATTTTTAATGGAAAATCCGGCAATATCACAAAGAAGACATTATTCACTGATTCAGGGTGACCAAATCTGTGTATATTGTAAAAGTGCTAATAATAAGTTATCTTATTTTGTATTTTTAATTTAAAAAATTAACGTTTTCCCTATATGTAGTACTTTTCAAATTTGCTAACAAAATGTTTATTTTTACAGTATCAAAAATGGACCATACAAATCACGATTGTGTTATGTTTGCTATTTTGTCTCATGGAGAAATGAATATAGTTTATGCGAAAGACACACCCTATAAACCTGAAAGTTTATGGTCTCTTTTTACTGCCGATAAATGTCCATCTTTAGCAGGTAAGTTGTTATCTGTAGTCTGTTTAACGAGTTGGGGAGATTTCAACAGATGACGGCAAATATAATTTGCCTATGAATTAAAATGACAAATGCGACCGTCACTGTCAGGGATCTTCCATTGGGCAGACTATATACTGTATGATCGAAAAAGAACGACGTCAACCTTAGAAAGGATTATGATGTACTATGTATGTCATCGATCGATATTTCTGGGGTAATTTGACGCCTATTTTTTTTTCTACGGTTTGATGTATGTATTTTTTTTTCGATTTATAATTCTAGGAAAGCCAAAAATGTTTTTTTTGCAAGCCTGTCAGGGAGATAAATTAGATGGAGGTGTCCATTTACATACTACAGAAACTGATGGCGACATGCACAATACTTACAAAATCCCTGTTCAAGCTGATTTTCTTATTGTATATTCTACAGTGAAAGGTAGGTACATCATTTTTTTAACGGTTTTGTTATAGAAGTTTACCAGTATTTATTACATAGTTAGATTTGTACCTTTGTATTCTCATCAAAGTATACATACATCAAATAGGAAAGTTTTATTATTACCTATTAATTTATAAAAAAAGGAATCATTTGAGTATTTTCATTAAAAATAAATGATGTTGACATTTTATGTGACAACTGAGGTTCAATAATAATATGATGAAAAGTTTTTCAATAATGTAATATATAGACATAAACCGAACCATATTTTATAATTCTTGAATGAAAGAAAAAGGAAATAAAAAAACACTTAAGGACTACAAACTAAGAAAATGCGATAATACAGCCAGGGACATAGCGGCAACAATGCTTTACTACACACGTGCGACGCGTCCTACAAGATAACAAAAGAATGAATAGGCGACCTCGCGTCTTATCGGTGTTGCCATATTGTAAAGAATTTATCCTTTTTCAATAGTATCCGACTTATAATTTAGTAGTATAAGGACTATTTAATATATCTATGGAATATTAAAACCTACTTTATTAAAATGCAGTATTAATATCTCAATATATGTGTATAATAAGAAAAAAAATATTGATAATATTAAAGACGTGACAACATAGGCTGAAGGAGGACGGCTCGGTCGGCTGTGGTCGACTGTACCCAGAAGTAAAGTGTACAAAAATGATTGTTTGATGGCGTTTAGATGTGAATAGTGTAGTCTATATTTTATTTTAAGTCTATGAGGTTAGTTTTGTTGATGTAAACAATAACAGTTGTAAAATGAAAATATATGCAAAAGTCGGCAACGCTGTGCCGGTCTAGCTTAATCACGCAACTAAAAGTTTATTTGGTATGATCTTTTAGACATGTAGTATATAGACTAAATGGTTACAGGAGATATCCATTTACCTGTTCTTTAAGAACCTTCTTTCTTAAGGATAACATATTCTTAATTCTTGTCTGTTATAAATTTTTTCTTCTTTTTGTTTTAAATGTACTCAAAATTCTCATTTTGTAAGTAACATTAAGAATAAGATAATTTAGAATAAAATTTAAAAAGTATCTGATTCATACTCATTAAAAGAAATCATAAATTCCATCTATCATGATTACAAAAAAAACACCTGATACTTCATTTTCAGGATACTACTCGTGGCGTAATACTACTAAAGGTTCGTGGTTCGTCCAAGCTCTTTGCGAAGAACTGAGACAAAGAGCCCACGAATTGGATCTGATGACCATTTTAACCTTTGTGTCGCAAAGAGTGGCCATGGATTTCGAAAGTAACGTTCCAGATTCCATAACGATGCATCGCCAGAAACAGATTCCTTGCGTGATGAGCATGCTCACCAGACTCATCCAGTTCAACGTGCCAGGGTATGCAGGTGTTACTGAATAGTTTGTAGATAATCTGCTTGGTTTGTTGTAAATAATCGTTTCCTTTATTTTGTGTCGGAGCGGGAACAAAGCTAAATATTTACACATTTACTACAAATTACAAAAGATAATAGTTGCTATGGACCAGTTAAAAGTTATAGGTATTTATTTCCATATAATCTTAGTTCCATATCCTATTTTATTATATTTCATTATCTTTAAGTGCAATATTTATAACTGTATTAAGTTTATACTGTATTTCAATAAATGTATCCCCCTCTTTAGATGGGAAATAAGTCATGTCAAGTATCAATATACAGGCTATGCCAAAAAATTCACAACCAAATAGGAAATTTTTTATCAAGTGTTTATAATTTCTTTAGCATGTCCATCAGCAGAAAAAAATGACATATGTCATGCAACAACTGTCTGTGCCAGTTATAAAAAAATATTAGGTTTATTAAGTTTTTCTTTTATATAGGCCATTGCAACAAGTTGGGTATCTTAAAAATGGACATCTTTGATTTTTAACTTATTATTTTTTGAAAATATTTGGTATAGTTATGAAATTTGATAAAGTAATTGAAGAGAAAAAAGTCAGTTGAATTGATATAGGACACTTAATGTGTTTGCGCAGATGATGCCAACAAAGGCAGTGCCGAAATTAAGAGCCCTAAGCTATTTCAACTTAACTTTAGAAATTCTATATGTAGACATATAATTTTTTCTTTGTTTTTCTGGTATTTTGTCATCTAACTCTTTTTTTTTGCATATTGAAAATGGATTTTTAGATAGTTAAAAGGATAGCTGTCGCATGACATGTGTTACAGTGATTTTTTATTGTTATTGGGCATGCCTAAACGTAAATCCGCATGAACTTTTTTTGATTACTCAATATATTTTATTTCTATATGCTACAAATTTTGTTGCACACATTTATTATTCAATTAGTGATGTGAACATATTTACTATTACTTTTCAAGAAAATATCCTATTTGGCTTTATCTCAAAAGAAAAGTATTTTTAGCTTTGTTTTGCTCTTGTGTCGGACAAATTGACTGATCTTTAAAAGCCTTTTATTCCTGTCATTTGTCATTCATTCATGCTATAATACATATATACTAAGTTTCATAACCTTTCTCTGCTAGTAATATGGTAATCAGAATTCAGAAATAGGTTTATGCGATCAGCTAATATTAATTAAAGGCCGTTCACTGTACTTAGTGCACTTAAAAATAAATTAAGTAGAACTACGTTACTGCACATGTGCAGATGGTACAATAAACGGTTTTATAAAGATCTGATGAAAAAAGATTAACATGATTTTGTGCACATAATTTTTAATGTTAGTTCTTTTATTCAAAAAATTTAAATAAAAACTCAAATAAATATAATTTTATAGGTAATATTAGTATCTAGTATTAATTTTTAGAGATAAAAAATTTAAAAACAGTTTGTTTTTTTTGCTATTAATCTTTTTATTAATAATTATGTGTGCAATAAAACCCTTTTAAAAGTGTATGTGATCAAGAAGTTTTATGATTAAACGTCCTGTATGTGGTGATGGATGAAACGATTCTTATAAAAATTACATTGGATTTTTTTAACTTCTCTTAAATTGTCTTAAGTCAAAGTATATTTAATCATAACTTTTTGATCACACAGTATATAATGCTTTTTATACAAATATTCATGTTAATTTTAAAGGATAACAATATTTTAGTATCTGAGTTTAGTAATAAAATTTATATTTTGCCAAACACTTTTGTAAATATATCCTCTTTAAAATAGTGTAACTAGGTGGGATATAGATTTTTTAATTTGAACTACTTTTTTTAATAAAATTTATGTTTATACAGTGTGCGATAAAAGTTCATAATAAATGGTATTTTTTATTATTTAATTATTGGAAAAAAGTTAATACAGAATTACTTCAACATGCCCAATAACAAAAATAATCATTTTAACATATGCGACAAACTGTCATGGCAGTAAATTATAAAAATCCTCTTTGCATACACTAAAAGTTTGGTTCGGTAACAAAATATCTAAAAAAGCCTTATTTTTTTGATAATTTATCACTTATTGCCATTTTTGCATATGTAAAGACTGGATAGTTGTATGACATGTCATAATGACTTTTTCTCAACAACTCAATAACAAAAATTTCTTCCATTTTCTGCGAACTTTATATATGGCACACTCTGTATTTAATATTTAAAAAAATATCATAAATGAAATGCTATAATTCATCTAGGAACACTATCTCTAAAAATCACTGCCATAGAGATGAGCACATATTTTTATATCTAAAAGCCGTTTTTAAACTTTTAGCTCAAATTTGGATAGTAGCGTAGCGATCAAGGCTAAAAAACCCAGAAAGCGGTTTAGCGGGATATTTAAAACCTAATAAAAGCAATGAATTCAAACAGCCAGTGATTCAAATATTCAATTCAACGTAGAGCCAATATTTCCATATATGAATATATGATAAGTAAAGGTGTAGTTAATATATTTTTTAAAATCAATTTATAGGATTAATTGTGTAGAATTCATATATGTATAAAATGGACCATGCGTGATATGGCTATTGCAATACTGGTTTTAGCCAAATTATTTTAATTAACATTTCTACATATAGTGCTGTGCCATGGTCTTTCATTAAAGTGTCTTAACTATATTATATATGTCAATTTACAGTATAAAATAACTACATATATACAAATAGGCAAACGTACATTGCATTTATATAGTATAATGTATTTTACTTTTAGTCAGATTTATAGGTGTAGGTAGCCTTTTGATTGGTTTTGAATGAATTTCAAGTTTCTTAATATCATATCTTAACCATTCAAGTTCCATCTCTCCTTCAAAAGTCTACCATTAAGATTAAAATTAATAATAGTGTTGATTTTTTTACAAACTACTAATATTTCATGTTGATTACCCCAACTTTTTATTATTCTAAAATATATTTTACAATAAATTCTAGTAATATTATGGGTATATCAAATATTTTCTTATTAGTGGCTTGTTGAATTTCTATAAATTATTATAAGTTCCAGATGTATTATTTTGCTCATGACATACATAGCTATAATTTATATATATTTTTTGTATTCCTATTATACACATACATTAGAATTAGTATTTTATTGCCTAGTGTTTTTATATCATATATTTCAATTTATATGTTTATTATATAAATAAATAAGGAATTACGTGTTTGCATTTTTAATGGCTCTATTCAATTATGTATATGGTTTGTCCAGCGAGAGAATATATTATTTTGACACGACAGGCATAATCAACTGTTAATCTAGTTTTCATGCTTCCTAATTTCGGACGTTTTCATGGCATTCAAATATTTTATACAAATTTCCTGGTTATCTAGTGTATTTTTTAAAGCCTAATTTGTATATAAACAATAATTTAAATTAACCTATGATTTATTTAAACCTTTTTCTTTAGTCTAGATTGAACCCGTACTAACGTAAGCTAAAGTAACTTTAACAGCCATACATATAAACATATAGCAAACATATAGTGTAAAAGAAAGCTAATAATAAAATTAATAACTATCTCTAGGCAGGCCACAAAAATCAAAAATCGCGCCTTTACAGCCCAAGGGTTTACCATGGATTTACAGCCATAGAACCTGATCCAAATATTATTATATTAGTGAATTAAAATTAAATTCTATGGTAAGGCATTTAAATAAATAAAATATTAAGGTTCTATGGTAAGGCATTTAAATAAATAAAGCATTTAAATAATTAAATATTTATATATGATCTTGTTGTTATGTTGTTTATCTTTGTCTTTTTACACATAAAAGTCAGAGAGAAAAAATAACCAATAAAAACAATTTAATCCCGCCCTTTTTCGACAACCGTTTTTGCCGGTATAATTTTAGAGTTTCCCGCCGTATTTTATTCCATTTTATTCTTGATCGTGCTTGGGTGTTGATCGTTTGTGTTGTATTCTTGAATAATTCTTAAACATGTCTGGCAGAGGTAAAGGTGGAAAAGCAAAGCAGAAACAGAAGACTCGTTCCAGTAGAGCTGGTTTACAATTTCCAGTTGGTCGGATTCATCGACTTTTGAGAAAAGGTATTTATCCCGTAGTTGATACATTAAAATACTAGCAAATTGTATTTGACAAAAGAATCTTTAAATATATTTAATTCATTTTGAAGGTAATTATGCTGAACGTGTTGGTGGAGGAGCTCCGGTGTATTTGGCAGCTGTAATGGAGTACCTCGCTGCTGAAGTATTGGAGTTGGCTGGTAATGCGGCTAGGGATAATAAGAAGACCAGGATTATACCTAGGTAATTAGATATTACATTTAAAGAAACTAAAAATATGCTGAATTAGTTTCAGAAAAAGCGAGAATATATCTATGTAAAACTATTTTGTTATTCTTTTTTTTTAGACATTTGCAACTGGCTATAAGGAACGATGAAGAATTGAATAAACTTCTCTCTGGTGTAACTATAGCCCAAGGTGGTGTGTTGCCAAACATCCAAGCAGTTCTTTTACCGAAGAAAACTGGGTCTGGAGCTGGCAAGAGCCAGTCTCAAGATTACTAAGAGAATGTATTTCGTTATTTTAATTAATGTAGTTGTAATAATTTTTCTATCTGTTTATGATTGTTATCTATATTAATTGTAATTTTTTCGTACTTTAAGTTAATTGTAAGCATTTGCCATTTAGTTTTTTTAAATAAAGTTTCATGTGTTAAGATTATACAAGTGTCTGTCATTGCTGTTCTACAGTACATGCATACTTTTTCTGGTAACGCATCATTAATTGTAAAAAAATTGTTTTAGAAGTAATGAGCATTATAGGCATAATACTAGTTGTTTGACTAACTGAATGCAACTGATTTATCTGTAGAAAATGGATAATTTTGGAAATTATAAGTATACTCTATATTATTCTAGTTATATCTAAGTATAAGAATTAATATTATGTTCTACTATTTTATGATTTTAGATGCTGGTATATCATATAGAGAGATAGTGAAATACATGCTATTGATTTTAAATATGTAACAAAAGTGGGTAGTATTTAGACCTATAAAGAACTAAGATACCTACCCTAAATATAATTTCCATTTCTTATTTATTGCAACAAAACTAAAAAAATATTTTCACATTCATTAGGTACCTATGTACCTAATGAATTAATTCATTCATAAAAGCATTGTGTTAGGTGCATAATGTTATGCACCTAACACAATCTTTATTAAACCTATGCATGAATAATATCTTTTGTCATGTAGACAAATTAAATGTAGATTTATTGAATATAAATAAGATTTATATAATTGAACATTTTCCTGTTCTCATGCAATTATAGGCACTATTGATCACGATTATACCTTTATTTAACATTTAATTGTTATAATAAATCTTTATTTATGTATAGGGTTAAATGTAAATAGGACCAACTAGCCATATAACATATGAATATAATTAAAAACTTGATAACCTTGGAATCCCATTCCATCTTGGTTAAAAATAAAAGAAAATGCACCTATATAAACACATTTCAGTACAGCATACTGCAGTTTCAGCTTCCATTCATAGAAAACTTAAATTATCGTGTACTGATAATCGACTCGATAGGTCCTCAAAATGATTGTATTTTATTTAGTACTCGTGACGTCAGCAATTATTGCCGTTGGATCAAGAGCTGAAGCTGAAGTTGTACTTGCTAAAGATATGAATTATAAATTATCAAGCAATGATTTAATGCCTTTAGTAGGATGTAAGTATTTGTTTTTAAGTTGATTGTGCTTACTTTGGAGTAGTTTGTAATACTGATTTATTAACTAAAAGCTTGCTTATTCGATTTTTTTATATTCACGTACTTAACAGACAGCAGGTACTTGATTTATTATTGTAAAATGAAAATATATTTTTTTTCCTAGTTGGAACATATCAGATTCAAGGATATGATTTGATTAGAGATGTTTTGGATAAAGCTTTAGCTTCAGGGTATCGTCTCATTGGTTAGTATTCTATTTATTTTTATTTTTCACAATAAGTAACATAAAAAATTAGGTATATATTAATATAACTATTGTTTACAGATACAGCTAAAGTTTATAGGAATGAAGAAGATATAGGTAGGGCTTTAAAAGAATTACTACCAAAGTATAATTTGACACGAAAGGATATATGGATAACAACAAAACTTTGTAAGATTAGATATATGATAATTAATATCTAGTACATGGGTGTTTATAAGTTTTCAATTTTAGCACCCGATGATCAAGGCCCATCTGCATATAAGGCACTCCAAGAATCAGTAAAAAAACTTGATACTGACTATGTTGACCTTTATCTTATTCACTGGCCTGGTGCTTATAAAACAAATGCCTCAAATACCAACAATTCAAGGTGATATTAGTGCAGGCCGTTTCATTTTCTTAATACATATCTATTTTACTTTAGATTGAGAGATGAAAGTTGGAAGTTAATGGTACAAGGAGTAAAAGATGGATTAACTAAAAATATAGGAGTATCAAATTATCTTGTGAGACATTTAGAACAATTATTGGCAAACGATCATGGTATTAAACCAGCGGTAAATCAGGTAATTACTAGATATTACAGGGTATTTGGTTTTTTTACCCTTCTTTATATCAGAATCTCATATAAACAGAGTAAGAAGTAAGAGTACTCCACACCATCTAAATCTAAAGCATATAAGTATTTATAGAAAATCTAAATCTTCATTTTTCCCAGTATGATGGAAAACCATGATACAAATAATAGAGATAAGATAGGTATTAATGTATGTAGTGGGCAGTGCTCAAGGACTGTATACTGTATTCTAAACAGTTCCTTTGAAATACTACTTTTCCTATTTCGCAGAGCTGATAGTGTAGTATGTGGAAAATCTATTAGGCAGAAACCTGTCGTTGGAAGTAAAGTAAATGAATTTGCTATAATTGGTTAGTCATCGTAATATATATCAAAGAACTACTTTTTTATTTTTCTAAAGGACTGTTCGATCGCGTCAAATCGCCGCTGTCGTAGTCGCCGTGGAATGCTACGTCACGCGCTGACCAGCGCTCCACAGTGCGGCGGATGGTTATTCTAGCGGGACAAAATTTCAAGAGCAATGTTTGGGACTTAAAATCTAAGAACGTAGCAAATGGTCTAATATATACCAACTATATGGTTAAATATATTTATTTAATAACAACTTAATTTATTGTATGTATGTTTATATAATTTGGTAACTCAAAAGATCTACATCATTCAATATATCGATATTTGAAAAAAAGTGAAAGTTTGATATCTGCAGAACAAAGGCACTAAGGATTTTAACAAATAATATACGTACAGTAGAAAAGTACATACCTTTGGCAATCTTCAACATAATTTGGCTTTCTAATAAAATGTATAAACACTTGTAAATATTGTGTTTTCGTATGATCTCTGCCTTGCTGAGCAGAAAACGACCAAATTTGGTTGATAAAAATGTATCGAAATACAAAGAATATCCATGCATTTTTGTATCAATTGGAATGTCTACCATTTATTCTTATCAGTTTTTTTGGCTTATTTCTAACCAAACGCTTTTGTCCCGCTAAATTTATCTTCCAACGCACTGTGCGCTCGTCCGTCAAATGCAAAAATAACTCACTGTTATGGAGGGCTTACTCACTGTCTAAAATCTTTAGCGCCAACATGGCGCCAACTTCAACTCGGTCAGTAGATGACGTAAAAAAACTGACAGTGCAGGAAGATAGGAATCGAACTATCCTTATCTCTATAGTATCCTTGGGCAGTGCTTACAGAAAATTACTACCCTGGTGACGTCATGCGCGCAGAGAACCAATGTGCGACCGCCAAGGATCTCATCTTTCGTTTATTGTATCATGACGGAAAACTGTCTTTAAAACTGTGTTGGCAACAGTCAACATTAACATCGTATACGTATTTAGCGGACGTTATTAGAATCCGCTAAAATAAAAAAATATGGTTTAATTTTATTTTATTTACAAATAATTATATGTAAATGATATAAAGAAATATTTTCACCAGATTTAAATATCTTTATATTATTGAAAAAGAAGAGAATATTGATACAAATACTCGCAAATTAAAAAAAAGATTAGAAAAAATTTGAACCTGACCTCTGTCCAACGAGGGGATCCATGACAGCGTGAGTAGTGTCTGTCATTTTAATTCACAGATAAATTATATTTTCTGTCATTTTTTGTATCTCGTCTGTCGAAATCATCCCTTAGGGTGAGTCCCATACTATACAGGGTGTCCCAGAAAAAAGTGCAAGTATTTTAACTAGTAGTATAGTTCAACCCCCGAAACAGGCCTACGAAGTTTTTTTCGCGAAAAAAAAAATTTAAAAATTCGAAATTTTTTGGAATTTTTTTTAGTTTTTAGTTAAAAAACATAATTTCTTGATAATATGGCAACATAGGTATTAGATTAAATTTACAAGAAAGAAAATCCAGAAAAGATCCAGTGGTTCTCAAAATTTTAGCAAAAAATATTTTTTTTTAATTTTCAATGTAAAATAACTCGTTAATAACGTTATTTTTGACTTATTTGAAAAACGATAAAGAGAAAATATGTTTCTTTTATCGAGATCTACCACCCCAATATTTGCACTTATTTCTGGGACACCCTGTATATGTATGAGTCCAGGGACCATCGTAGGAAGAGCAGAACGGCAGATCAGCGCATCGATCTCCAGCAATTCTATTGGCTGATTTTTTTTCAAAAAAATCATCTGTCAAAAATTTCAGCCAATAGAATTGCCGGAGCCGATCGGCCGTTCTGCTTTTCCGACGATGATGTGGATGCACCCTGACTGATTAGACGGCTTTTATATTCTTTTGTTTTAATTTTATACGGTATTATCGAAAAATAAACGGCGTCCACTTGGCTGGGAAATAACAATCGATGACATTTCCCATATAAAATGAAAGCGATCTTCATTTCATAGCCATCGCCGACGCCGTTTTCTTCGATCATACATCATACGGTATATTTTCTAAAAATTAAAACCGCTAGATTGAAACCGCTAAACTGAAAAAAATGGCAACACCTGCTGCGCTGTCAAAGTAACAAGAGCACAAACTGAGCCCTACAAAATTCAAATCATTTAATAAAAAAAAATAATTAAATCATTATATTGGTCATTTTAATGGTGCTATAAATGCATAGCAAAAAAAATAATTCAGATGTGAAATAAATGAAATAAATTATTAACATCTATAATTAAAAATCAAAATATCTATACAATGGGCGCGTTCAGGGACGGTCAGCGGCTGAGTGGCTGAGTAAAGCGGTTCCCTAAACGGTATCTTTTTACACACAAAAACAGTCAGCCTCTTTACCAAGGTCGATCAGCCTCTGTGTTCCCTGAAATGCGCACAATGTGAAATGTCAAAACGAGGAAAACTAAAGCCCCGCAGAACTGCGACTGTCGCCAGCGACACTTCAAAAGCACCAATGAGATTTGTACAAAATTCAAACAGCTGTCAATTTTAAATTTAGTACAGCTCCCATTGGTCGTTTGAAGTGTCAATCAGTGTCGCTGTCGACACGACGCAGTTCTGACAGCGACACTGATTGACACTTCAAACGACCAATGGGAGCTGTACTAAATTTAAAATTGACAGCTGTTTGAATTTTGTACAAATCTGATTGGTTCTTTTGTCGTGTCGCTGGCGACAGTCGCAGTTCTGAGAACGGGGCTGAAAGTCCCGTTCTCAGAACTGCGTCGTGTCGCGGGCGACACAGTTTGACACTTCAAACGACCAATGGGAGCTGTACTAAATTTAAAATTGACAGCTGTTTGAATTTTGTACAAATCTGATTGGTTCTTTTGTCGTGTCGCTGGCGACAGTCGCAGTTCTGAGAACGGGACTTAAAATGCGAGAAGTAGGTATTAACAGCTTTCTTCTGTTGTCACATTATCAGTTGTGAAATATACATATAGAATTTTAATACACCTGAAGTAAGCATGTTTCAAATAAAATATTGATTTTTACTAGGTAGAATGGCATCCGCATTATCATCCAGAAGATTTACTAGAATATTGTAGAAAAAATAATATTTTACTGCAAGCATATTCATCGTTAGGTGGTTCAGGAAATACAGATTTAATAAAAGATCCTAAAGTAGTGGAAATTGCTAAAAAATTAGGAAAATCACCTGCACAAGTTTTACTTCGGTGGGCGCTTCAACAAAATTTGGCAATTATTCCCAAGGCTAGGTCAAAACATCATATTGAAGAAAACATCGACCTTAATTTTAATATCCCAGAAGAGGATATGCAAACTTTAAACAGCTTTTCAACAAACAAATACTCGTGGGACCCGGCAACTATTGTTTAAAGCCGTTATTTATAAATTACATTTAATTTTATTTATATTTTTTAATTCATGTTTGTAAAAAATATTTTTAATATTATCTTTTGTCCAAGGAAAGCACTGTTATTTATTAGTCTGAGCCACTATTATTTTTTTTTAAATGTCAAAAGTCAAATGGCCCACTTGTTGCCAGATTTATTCATTTTCTCTGCGAAGTCTATGCCAAATGACTATGCAAAGTGTGCATAATTATGAAAAAATTCTCTAATGCCATTATGAAGTTTTTTAAACTAATGCTTGATTTTAATATGTAATGCGAGTGAAATTTTGTAACTTTTTTTTAAACTCTTATTTAACAAAAAAATGGCAAATTTAAATGCAAAAAAAATAAGCAAAAGAGAAATAATAGTGACAACAAATTTAAATTGCAAAAAACAGAATTATTTGGCTATAAGAAGATAATTATTAATCAGAGATGTAATATTAATATCTCTTTCTAGTATTTCTATTAATAATAAAGTTATTTTATGTAATTCATGTAAATATTTTCGAAGCCCTTAGTTGTTAGGAATTCATTTCAACCAAAAAAGTTAGTCCTGTTTATTTATAATTTTGTATTCAATATTTTTAAATACAAGTCAATCTAATCTTAATAGTAATAAATGGAAATATATACCTACTTTATTATGACCTATAAAAAAATATAAATATTGTCGTGCAATCCCTGTTCGTTGAATATAAAAAACTATGATAAAAAAACTATGATAAAAAAACTATTTTTTGGTAGGTAAATGAGAGGGCAAATGAGTTAACCCGTGGTTAACCCAGAGAAATAACCCGACCGTTAACCCATAGAATTGACGGAAGTTAACAGTTAACTTGTCAGTTAACCGAATGATCAACCATGGTAAACGTCAAGGGGTAAAAGCATGGTAAAAGGCAAGGGTAAAAGGTGGTAAAAGCATCATGTAATAATTCATGTACCCTTCTATATATCCTTGCATGTACCATAAGCAGTTTAGTTTACTTCTATGGGTAATTGTCCTAGTCATATACAAAGAATATATTATTGACATATAATTTATATATGACTTGGGGTATTAACCCGTCATATATAAATTACTATATAACTTATTCTGTGGCTCCAAGAAACAAGAAAACGATTTCCGATTTATTAATCTTTGGTTATATTGTGATTACAAAAGTGGTGCCAGTTTGTTTGTCGAGGTCTTTTAATTGGTTTTCTTATTGATCAGAAAAGAGGATTTTTAAGATGGAACAACTAACTGAGAATGACCTGATGCATCGCGGAACCGACTATAATAATTTAAATAATCAAATACCATTGGGAGAAAGTGCCGAGGCAACAGCAAGACGACGTAGGTACGTATTTATAACTTTTGTTCGTAATGTTATATTTCTCATTCTTCTGAGTATTTAATTTGGTTTTCTAGCTCCAATCGGTCTATAAAAAGGAAAAAATTCGATGACGAACTTGTTGAATACAGTCTTGGCGTACCTGGCATTTCTAATATAAAGGTAGTACAACACTTTAGTACCTTCAAAAGTAAAACGTCATATAACTATTTTAGGGCGCAAGAGCACGAACTCAATCATACCATTCAGATTTAGCGCCTGTAGGATCCCCATCAAGCACTCCTACAACTAGTGTAGTTGTGCCACAACATGTAATGGAATCTGCAAAGAAAAAAAGTATATCTAAGGCTACACCAAGCACATCTAAAGGAAAGAAAAGAAGTCAACCAAAAAGCCAATTAACAACTAAAGATTTAGGAAGATGGAAACCAATTGATGATCTAGCTTTAATTATAGGTTTGAATATTGAAAGATCCCTATTGATACTATGCTATAAGTTAAAATTAAATAATATATTGTGTTAATTTGTTCTTTGCTATATATTCATATTATATCAAGGTTTTTTGATGTTTAGGTGTTCAGCAAACTAATGATCTGAAGACAGTCCACCTTGGAACAAAATTCTCCTGCAAATTTACATTGCAGGAGCTCCAGTCACGTTGGTATGCATTATTATATGATCAAGCTGTATCAAGGGTAGCAGTATCAGCCATGCGTAATCTCCATCCTGACATGGTGGTTGCTGTTCATGATAAGGCCTTATGGAGTCAAGAAGAAGAGAAAATATTGAGTAGCATAAAATCAGTATGTTCATTATTAAGAAATCATGTGTAAACTAGAAGTATATTATTTTTAGAGTACAAACCCAACTGTGGAAGTTTTTGCTGATCTCTTAGCAAAGCATTCAGATATTTTTTATAATGGAAGAACTGCCAATTCTTTAATGCGGCATTGGCAGACTTTGCGTATGTATCATTTATTGCCAGATCAAGTTGTGGGACCCATTCCAACATCTGGAAGGCCCATAATGACATTTAATGATGCTGAAGAACTTATTCAAGATTCTGAATTGACTGATCCTCCTGATGAAACTTTAGACACAGAATTGAAGTTAGTACTTTATGATATGAGTTTTTTATTTCTAATTATATTATAGCTTATAACATTTATTTATGACAGAAAAAGTGCATCTTATTTAATAGTTTACACATAAATTTCTATAATTTATCTAATCTATAATTATAAATTTAATTGTTTTCAGACTTCAACAAAGGAGAAATATCAAAGAAATTAGACAATTAGAAAATGAAGTTGGACGATGGAATGTATTAGTTGATAGTGTTACAGGTATTAAGCTGATTTTAAAATTTAGTGGGTATTTATAAAAACTGTTTTTTAACAGGCATGTGTCCTGGTGAGTTGGATAGTCAGACTTTGGCGGTTTTAAGAGGCCGAATGGTTAGGTATCTAATGAGATCAAGAGAAATAACAATTGGAAGATCTGGAAAAGGTCATAATGTTGATATAGATTTATCTCTTGAAGGTCCTGCTCATAAAATTTCCAGACGACAAGCAACACTTAGGTAAAACTGAGAAATTGTTAATATTTTTTTCGATTATGTTGTTTTTAGGTTGCGAAATACAGGAGAGTTTTATTTATCATCTGAAGGGAAAAGACCAATATTTGTTGATGGAAAACCAGTAACCGCCGGAAGTAAAATTCGTTTATACGATAATGCAGTTGTTGAAATTGCTTGTTTAAGATTTATTTTTTCCATTAACCATGACCTTATAAGGGCTATACACAATGAAAGTGTAAAGTATAATTTGCCACCATAATATTTTAATATTTATTACCTTATGTAATTTTTTTAAAGTTATAATTTTCAATTGATTGTAATCCAAGATATTTATGTGTATCATAAGGAATCTTTAGGAGGTTCTTCAGTATTAAAACTAAACCTAAAACTATTATCGGAAATAAATACAGAAGTTTTAGCATACATTTTGTTTTCATTTGTAACATCATTGTGTGTGCCATTGTCCTGTATTTCAGTTGTACTTTCAGATGGATTTGAGAAATTAAACTTGAAATCACTTCCTGTCCTAAGAGCTTTCCTAATAAACGTTGATTTTTCACTTGGCTTTGGTTGAGTAAACTTCACTGAAAAACCTTAAATACATATTTATATTTTTAATTATAAACTAGATAATCAAGTAATTTATTTACTTTGAATTTTTTTCTCTTCTTTTGCCATTTTATTTCTATAATCTCCAAACGAAAGCCTCATAATCTGCCTTTTCTTAATAAGTGGAGCGGTTTTACTCATGAGGGTATTTAATAAAACGGTGACTATACAATTGATGCATACACTACCTTTAATCTTACAAAAGCATAATAGGGTAGTTTTAACACGTGTTATTATTACTAAAGTCTCTAGTATTACGCACAATAAACCCCAAGGCCTTAAACGAATTGCTGAACAAATGATAGTTTACTGTCAAATTTCATCCAAAGTTCTAAAAATAAAGACTCTGCCAATCATCGTAGTACCGATCGAATAATCATAAATTTTTGTTTCCAATTTCAAGGTATAAAACATGACTTTAGATTTTTCAACGTTCAGTGGTAGTTATTATGTGAACACCATGCAACTAATCGATCAATTCACCTCTGAAGACGTTCACAATCATGAGGCAAATCAATGCGGGAAAATATCTTCATGTCGTCTGCATACATTAAAACATTAAAATACTTAAATCAATTATATTGGTGACACCGTCTATAAAAATGTTATACAATTATTGAAGGGTCTCAAAATAGACCCCTGGGGTACACCCAAAGTAGCGCACAGTTCAACCGAATTTTAACCACAGTTTATGAGTAGTTCTCCCAAAGAGAAACAACAAGATAGAGTCGCTAATACTATTAAAAAGAAATAAAAAAATTGGCGCCGGAAGGCACGCATAGCCGCCCATACTAAAATATGTTAATATCTCGAAAACTGCGACTTTGACTGATTTTGATGTTATTAGAAATTTTGTTGCAAATATTATTCCTACCCTTAATTTGAAAACCGCGTTTCGCTAGCTACTAAAATTTTGGAGTTACGATTTCTAAATTTTTAACCCCCTCCCATACCCCCTTCCCAACCCCCCACCCCCACCAAAAACTAATAGCCAGATTCTCGGGTGCCACAGTATTTTTCTGCCAAATTTGGTTAAAATCGGTTCAGCGGTTTTTGAGTTATCGTGTTACAGACGGACAGACAGACACCATGAAAATATTTTGTATTTAGGTCATTTATGACCCAAATAACTCATTTTGGGTGACATTAAAAAAACTTTTTTTTTGCCGATCCTAATAGCCTACCATAACTATTGGTATGGTCGGCTAATAACACAAGTACTAATAACGCTCTACCTAAACCAAATTATGTTTTATATCAATATTCACTTCAAGCTGCGGATTAAGTAATGGGTACTGTAATATATTATTACTTAGTTCATTTTTATTATTTATTTTAGATACTTAATTTAATAATTAATAATAAGTTTCTTTTTGAAACTCAATTACTTGAAAATTAGTGGGGATTTAAAATGTGAAATGTTTGTTTTTATAACATAAATACTCGTGGGTAATACTTATTGTTTAGTTATTTCTCATACATTTTAAAAATACTTTTAATGATTTTTCCAAGTCTTCGTTTAGAATCAAAATATTTGGAAATAGTAAATCAAGGTAGCAAGTTCTTTAATATGCGGTCGGTGCTTGGCGGTGCATCGCGTGCCCTGGATATATTCTCTGCAGCTAATAAAACTAGATTCATATAAAACGAAAATTGATCGACCGAGATTATAAAAGCTCAGAAGATAAACACGGAATTCCATTTCAACGACGACACTGCACGATTATTCGCCTCACCATTGTAAGTAACAAAAATTTTTGAAAATATCTATAAAATTAAATTTGCCCATTTGTAAGTTTTTTTTTCATTTATACTTTCAGTTGCTAGTATTGAGGAGAAGGATCCATAATGTACCATACCGGGAGCAATACCGCCAAAAAACAACGATCTAGTGCCAGCTATTTGGTTAGGCCAAAATTAGGAGCCTTGAGATCATTATACTCCAATAGACCTCTGTCTTCATTGTCAAATGAGAAAAGGAAGAAATCAAAGTAAGTTTTTTAATATATTAATCTTTTTACAGTATATCACCGGATTGTCTTTACAAGAGGAAAAACTTTTTTATTATTGGCATTTTGAGAAAAATGCATTCTTCATAGAACATTTTCCTTGTTCTAAAATGGCTAATCCTGTTTATACTTTTCCAAATTTCTATACCGTTTTAGACAAAATAGAAAAAAAACATGAAAATGTCTACCATACCTCTATATTATTTAGTTCTTACAGTATCTGATCTTCTTAAACCAGATTTGTTAAACATTTCTATACTGCATATTAATTGATTAGGTAATTTCTTCTTTTAGGATCGCCGATATTTTCATTATAATTTGAATTTATGAAATTGATAAAACCTAACATATTGAAAAAATAATATTGAATTATTCTTAAATATTCCCAAATCTACAGCTTATTTAAAGTTGTCATTTTCTCACACACTCTGCTTTGGAATTGTTTTGACAAACATTATTTTCAGACTGAGTATTGAAAGATTTATTTGGCGTAGATATTAAAAGATATCTGCTGCAAATAAAAAAAACTTATGCGTACCTAAAAGAAGTATACCATTCTTCTTTAGAATTCATTCTAAACACAGCTCTCTTTCCATATATACCAAGGTTCGGCAATAGTGGGTCGGGCATCTGTAGCTCCTAGAATAATAAAACTTGAGAATTTTGTTTAAGTGCGAAGCTCAAAGTATGTACTAGGATGTATTTCAGGAAAATATTTTAACTTCTACAGGGTGGCTCAAAAAAGTGTGAGTGGATCTGGATGATTTTTTTTTAAATGGAACACCCTGTATATTAGTGCATTTTTGGCTTCATTTCAGATCACTTCACATAATCCTAAGATATGAGTAAATATATTTCAATAGTTTCAGAGATATTAATTAATAAATAAAAATATATATTTTTCAAACTTTCTTAAAAAAATTAATAAACACAAGAACTGTCCTTAAATCAAAACTATTTTAGGTATTTACTTTAGATGGTCTATACTTACTCTGCTATAAATATAGTAATCTTAAATCACACAGGATGTTCAAAATTCTACACCAAACTTTCTAAAATATAAAATAATTTTTCTCCCTTTTTGTAACGGAACACCCAGTATATTATTTTTTTAATAGACGGAGAATTAAAAAATGAACATTTTTTGTATATAGAGTATTTCATAATTTTTAACGGTTTCTCAGATATTCGCGGTTATATATTTCATATGGCATTTTCCATAGCAAATTTTGATCAATGCCACTCATTCAATGCCAATGATTTTTCTCTCATATTTTACCGTTGAAACAGCCATATGAATCTATATCGCGAGTATCTGCGAAACCGTTAAAAATTTTGAAATACTCTAAATACAAAAAATGTTAATTTTTTAATTCTCCATCTAATAAAAAAATAATATACAAGTTCCATTTAAAAACCTTGGCGTAGAATTTTGAATAACCTGTGTGATAGATCATCTGAAGGAAATACCTAATATAGTTTTGTTTTCAGGACAGTTCTTGTATTTGTAATAATTTTTTTAAGAAAGGCTGAACAATATATATTTTTTATTTATTCATTAATATCTCTTCAACCATCGAAATATATTTATTTACTCATATCTTAGGATTATATAAAGCAGGGTTGGAAAAAATCATGATTTTTTTAAAAAATTAAAAAAAAATCAGATTTATTTGATTTAAATCAGATTTTTTTTATTTAAATCAAATTTTTTTGATTTTAGTTCAAAACAATATTTAAATTGGATTTTCAAATGACTAGGACTTATTTCCAATTAAAGTCCTATCCTAAATGGCTAAATCTTTATAACTCTGCCCGTTATCGATAACATTAATAATTCTAGGGTGCGTTTTGTCATTTTTCCACATCGGTCACCAATATATTTCGCAAAAAAGTCGCTCGCTTCAGATCAAAAGGATTTTTTTTCAAACGTCTCAAAAGTATTAATTTTTGTCATTTTGACGCCTAGGTATAAAAGTAAAGCACTGTTACGCCTAAGCACAAAAGTACAAAAATATATTATTAAACAAAAAAAATATTAAATGTGTCAAATTCAACGAGCGTACAAATTGTTGCTCGATTGCTGTTTATATTATTTGCAATGTTTGAAATTGATTAAAAATGATTTGTAATGTTTTAAAAAAATAGTATGTATGTTCTATTAGGAGTAAAAATGTACTTTTTGTGCTTCCTTGTAACGTCGGAATAGCTTTACGATGGTCCCTTCAAAGGTACAGTATCATCAAAAAATGTATAATTTTTACTCCTAATAAAACAATACACTATTGTTCGGAAATACTCTTAAGTTGAGAATGAAATTAGTATTATCTAATGTCAAAGTGTGAAATACTTATTGCAGATCAAAATGTCGGTAAGAATTTGAAAAAATACAACCATTTCAAAAAAAAATATAAAAAACATATTTCCTGACAACGATTTATTATAGATTCTCGGGAATGAAGATAATATGGTCTCTATATCAGAAGAACCTAGTTCTGCACTAGACTGCGAATGATATGTATTCGAACAGCGAATTTTTGCCACATAAATTTTAAAATAAATCCCTGCGTTTAGCGGTCTAATGGATTCACACGAAATTACTTCAAAAATCGGTCCAAAATTTAAATTATGAATAGAAATTTGAATATACCGCGTGAAAATTGAAAATCGGACAATTTGGTGAAGGAATCTTATAAATAGTTAGTTTGTTGTGTGTTATAAGTTAGTAATTGTGTATAAAGTGAGAAAATAAATTCGTTAAGTATTTTATCGTGAGTTTAAATTAGTGGACCCACGGAATCCGTAACAATATTTTTTTTATTTAAATCAATGAATAAAATTAAAAAAATCATTTGATTTAATTCATGCCAACCCTGATATAAAGTGATCTGAAAGAAAGCGTAAAATGCAATAATATTCAGGGTTTTCCATTTAAAAAAAAATCATCCCGATCCACTCACACTTTTTTGAGCCACTCTATAGAAGTTAAAATATTTTCCTGAAATACATCCTAGTACATACTTTAGATCTGCACCTCAAAATTCCCAAGTTTTTATTTTTATTTTAGGAGCTAGAGATGCAAGATACACTATTGCCGGACCCTGTAGGTTGGAGCATCAATTTCAAAAGTTTAAAAAAATCTTAAAAATCGGGCTAAATGTCCTTACGCCGCAGCGCACAACCATCAGGAATAGAATTATTATCGAATAAATTGTTAATGTACAGGGTGGGCTAAATTGGACACTTGTAAAGAGAAACACCCTTTTCTATAAGAGATAGACGAAAACTAATATCGGTGTCTGGAGCTCAATTTTTGTCAAAAACATGATGGTGAAAACCGCACATCGATATCTGTTACCGTTTCGGTGTTACGGGGTCTTTTTCAAAAATATGCATTTTTAACAATCGCTGTAACTTTTTTGTTATGGAAAATTTATTATTTTTCTGAAAACATTTCCAAAGCATCTTTCTACGTAGAATTTAATGGTTTAAGTATAATTTTTTTAAAATTAATAATTTAAGAATTATCAACAGAAAATTTGATTTTTTAAATGGGGCACGCTGTATATTTTTAACTCATTGAAAAGAAATTAAAATTACCATTCCAAAAATATAGCACACTTGATATTTTGCTCGATTCCTCTTCGAGATATAGAGTTTATTAAAATTCGCCCACTTTGAATAAGTAGGCTTTGAACGACGCCGACGCCGGCTGTAATGCAAAAAAAATCTAGCCGGTGAGCAGCAATCAAAACGAAAATAATATTTGCAATGAGAGATGCAGAATTTTATAACAATTTAAACTATATTTTACCAACATCAATACATTTAAACTATATCTAATAATAATAAAAATAAATAGCAAACCGAGACATGAGATTTTGCTACAAGTGTTCGACATATCAACCGTCTTTGTTAACCGTTTATGTTATGGACATACGGGGCCGTTATTGCATATTTCTCTCGGAATTCATTAACTCAGTAGGCGTGAAAGATACCCTCGCATAACCGCTAAGTACTTCTAATTCTTATTTAGATTATGCGGGTAATTTAAAAATAATAACCTTTATTCTTCCGCAAAGATATCCATAGGATTAGATCCAAAGGCACTAAGTCCGGCGGTTAGGTTGGTTACAACTTACAACCAAACCAAACCAAACGGCTGGGATCTTGGTTAGCTATTAAATTATTCTCGAAATTGGCTGCAAAAATTTGCCGATAACTTCAGCGTTCTGAGGCGGTGCCTCGTCTTGCTGGAAAAATATGTTGTCGAGTTCCATTAGGGGCAGATCATTAATAAGGGATCCAAAGCCTACTAGTTAAAAGTGGTAAACTTTTAAGAATTCTGTATTTCGAAGGGGATTATAACAAAATATCAAGTGGGCTATATTTTTGAAAAGGTAATTTTAAGTTCATTCCATTTAATTAAAAATATACAGGGTGTCTCAAATAAAAAGTCAATTTTTCTGTTGATAACTCTTAAATTATTAATTTAAATAAAATTATACTTAAACCATTAAATTCTACGTAGAAAAGTGCTTTGGAAATGTTTTCATAGAAATAAGAAATACAAAATTTTTCATAACAAAAAAGTTGCAGCTATTTGTTAAAAATGCACATTTTTGAAAATACCTCGTAACTCCGAAACGGTAACAGATATCGATGTGCGGTTTTCACCGTCATATATTTGATCAAAATTGACCTCCAGACACCGACATTAGTTTTCGTCTATCTCCTATAGAAAAGGGCGTTTCCCTTTAAAAGCGTCCAATTTGACCCACCCTGTACTTTCTACTTTTCAAAGAGCCATATTGATGTTTTTGATCGTCATTTTCAAGCTCTCAATCTAAAGTTATATAGATGTAAAATAGATGTAATAGATGAATCTGGACGGCATGTTACTTGATAAGCTCTACTGTTTTACTGACATGCGCTGATATAGCAGATAGGTCTGCTAAATCAGCACTATTTGAGAGAACAAA